ACTGTATCTCTGTGGAGAGAGGAGAACCTTCCAGAAGAACAACCATCTCTGCAGCACTCCACCAATCAGGCCTGTATGGTAGAGTGGTCAGACAGAAGCCACTCCTCAGTAAAAGGCAAATGGCAGCCCGCCTGGAGTTTGCCAAAAGGCACATGAGGGACTCTCAGACCATGAGAAACAAAACTCTCTGGCTTGATGAAACAAAGATTGAGCTCTTTGGTCTGAATGCCAAGCATCATGTCTGGAGGAAACCAGACACCGCTCACCACCTGGCCAATACTATCCCTACAGTGAAGCATAGTGGTGGCATCATGCTGTGAGGATGTTTTTCAGTGGCAGGAACTGGGAGACTTGTCAGGATTGAACGAAAGATGAATGCAGCAATTGCAGAGACATCCTTGATGAAAATCTGTTCCATAGCGCTCTGGACCTTAGACCGGGGCGACGGTTCATCTTTCAACAGGACAACGACCCTAAGCACACAGCCCACATAACAAAGGAGTGGCTATGGGCCAACTCTGTGAATATCCTGGAGTGGCCCAGCCAGAGCCCAGACTTGAACCCGATTGAACATTTCTGGAGAGATCTGAAAATGGCTGTGCACCGACGCTCCCCATCCAACCTGATGGAGCTTGAGAGGTACTGCAAAGAAGAATGGGAGAAATTGCCCTAAATAAATGTAGCTTATACTCATATACTCATACTCATCATACTCAAAACAACTTGAGGCTGTAATTGGTACTAAAGGTGCTTCAACAAAGTATTGAGCAAATGCTGTGAATACTTATGTACTGTATGTAGCGATACCCCCGTAGGGGCTGCTTAAGTTTGTTCACTCCGCCACTCTGCTTCTCAACCCCAAGGACTGTCTCAGCCCCAACTGGCACACCTGGCAATAGTGTAAGTGCAAGGATCAATGAAAAGCACACATGTTATAATAAAACATGTAGATCAGCTTTACTGTAAGACCTCTATGGGAAGTAATAAACATTAACAACAGGTATACGTTCGGTGAATCAAGAGAACAGCAAATACTGTGACCGAAAGAAATATAACTCACTTTTACACTCAGTCTGCTTTCAGGGGATTCCAACCGTAAATAACCCCAAAAGCAGAGGAAACACTTAAATGGCAACCTGAAAGTGGATTTACCTCCTCTACATAGATTCAGCTCTATGATGTCCAAGCAGGAGGAGGGCAGAAGAATGACTCTCTATTGTGTCAAACGTCTCCCTTCTAACCCCCGACACCACAAGCCCAATAGGCAAACACTGTATCCAAATGATGCTTAATAGCTGCTTTCCAAGGTAAAGCTATTCCCTCACACAGCATGCAATATAGAGGCCTAAATACGCATGCGCGTGCTCGTATGGCACCAGTAACTTCAGTCTCTTGGTAACAGGATGAATCTTGGGATCTTCAGCTAGCCACTTTCGTTGGTGCACTTAAACTCCTTAAACACTTAAAGTATAATTGTAATCCAGCGGCAGTATTTGTATAGCAAAGCGAATACTGTGTCTGTTCAGCAGGGCCATCTACACAACCCAGTGCCTGGTGAATTTGAGCAAGGTATGATGCAGTATGTGTGCAATGTTCCTGTCATCTGACAATGGGAAAAATCCCTCTCACCAGATCCTGTGACAAAGGCCCAAACGATCGTCCTGGAAATGACAGGCTCCTCTGGTCACCTCAGGATGAGCACTTCACACTGTCAGGATGGCCTCTGTACTGTAAGCCACTTCTCTCAGTTTGGATGTTCCCTTGGCTGATGCAGATCACCAAGCATGCAGTGCACTGCCCAAAAGCATTTCTTTGCCAGGTCCAATCTTTCTGCTGCCACATGCAGTCTCCTCTCCTTAGGAGAAACCCCAAGATGGATCCATTCACTCTCCTCTCTCCAAGCATGATGGCTTTTGTAGTTCTTTTGTAGTTCTATCTCCATATCAGCCTATAAGGCCATTTCTGTTCAAGACTGCATCGTCCACAATGCTTTGCAGCTGCACTTCCTGTTTGACAGAGTCCTTGTCATTGGCTCCTTTAATGGCTCTTGTAATTGGCTCTCTCACTCTCTTACAGTCTGAGAGGAGAAAGGGGGGGCTGAAATCCCTCACTGCTTTGTCTGTGTCAGGGCAAGTGTCAGGTTACACAGGAGAGGCCAGTCAGCAGATCACAGCCATGAGACAGGATTAATATCTCCTGCTACATGTACAGGTGGTTTTTTTTTCGTTTTTTATTTTTAATAAATTGCAAAGATTTCAAAACAAACTTATTTCACATTGTCATTATGGGGTATTGTTTGTAGAATATTGAGGAAAAAAAATGAATTTAATTCATTTTGGAATAAGGCTGTAACAGGGGCGGACTGACCATTTGGAAACTCGGGCACTGCCCGAGGGCCCGGGGCTCAGTAGGGGGCCCCATGAGTTGTCAGTCCGCCCCTGGGCTGTAACATAACAAAATGTGGCACAAGTTAAGCACTGTGAATACTTTCTGGATGCACTGTAAATACCTTGGACTGTCTATTTTCCAAAAAGGGGTCATTTATGGGGTATTTGTACTATCCTGGCATTTTCGGGCCTCAAGAAATGAGATAGGCCATAAGTACATCAAATTTTCAGATATACACTATATTACCAAAAGTATTGGGACACCTGCCTTGACACGCACATGAACTTTAATTGCATCCCAGTCTTAGTCCATAGGGTTCAATATTGAGTTGGCCCAGCTATAACAGATCCAACTCTTCTGGGAAGGCTGTCCACAATGTTAAGGAGTGTGTCTATGGGAATGTTTGACCATTCTTCGCATGCCCCCACCTACCCATGGGTGCCATGATTTGATCCCCAAGGGATCAATCATTCAATTTAGGCCAGTGATGGTCAGCCTAAGTCGGATGATCGATCCCTGTCCTATCAGGGATCTTCCTGTACCTGTGTTTACAGTTACAAAGGTACAAGAAGTGATGACATCTTCTCTCTCTGGGTACATTCCATCCCTTTCACAGCCCTGTCACCAGTGTCATTAGTACAGTGTACAGATTTTTTGCTGATCACTGTATTAGTGTCGCCAGAGACTTCAGATAGCGTTAGCTATCTCCATTGCTAGTATAGTGTCTGAACGGATCAATATCTTTGATGAGATCAGCACTATACCAGCATTCACATTAGTATAGTGTTCCAAAAAAAAGCGGCGTTAGTGGGATGAGCCCCGGCACCTGCCAGCACCTGCGTTTAGCCCCTGCACTTACCCCTTTTCCTCCAGCAAGTGCAGTGTCAGTAGGTCACTGTCACTTGATACATTAAACACAAAACCGCAGTGTTCGCAGAATCAGGCCCGATCTCTGTTAGCACTTGCTGGTAAATTTTTTGTAGCGGTTCAAGCAGTCCCTGACAGCCAGGAGCTCTTTTTCCCATGAGTCGCTCTAGGTACCTATAAATTTAGTGGCCAAAATGTCAATGGAAAGGTACTCTAGTGACTAACTCATCTTCTGTTTTGTGCAACATAAAAACCGCAACTACCATCTTTTTTATTCTAAAGGACCTTTTCTATTAGTTTAATTACATTTTCTTATAGTTTTTAAAAAAAAATTTCATGTACCTTTCATTGCTATCACAAGGAAGCTAACAAGCCCCCAATGTGATAGAATTGGGCAGGTGACAGATCCACTGTATGAAGACATCAAAGATCTATTAAACCCAAGTCTCTGCCCTGCCTTCCACTGCAGCTAACCAAGCCCAGATCATGCTTAACCACTTGCCAACCACGCTATACCCAAATGACGGCTACAGCGCGGTTGTCCAGTTCTGGCAGGGCGTCATATGACGTCCTCCCAGAACGCGCCTTCCTGTGCGCCCCCGGCGATCTCCGTGATCGCTGTATTCTACAGACACAACTGATCACATCATGTGGTAAATGGCCAATCACAGTGGCCTTTTACTGCGTGATCAGCTGTGTCCATTGACACTGCTGATAATTGGGTAAGTGCAGTTGTCGGTTATTGGCTCCATTTTCCTCACTACTGCTGATAACTGGAAATTGTGAGAGGATGGATCGGCACCAATCATCAGGGCATTGATGATCAGTGCCCTGATGAGCAGTGCCACCCACCAGTGCTGCCCACCTGTGCCCAGCAGTACTGCCCACAAGTGCCCATCAGTGCCACCCACCTGCCTAGTAGTGCCAGCCACCTGTGACCAGGAGTGCCACCCATCAGTGCCCAGCAGTGCCCTCAGTCAATGCCACCCATCAGTGCTGTCCATCAATGCCACCCATCAGTGCCACCTATCAGTGCCCATCATTGATCATTATTGCATATCAGTGCAGCATCATCAGTACCGCCTCATTAGTGCAAGCTTATCAGTGCCCATCAGTGCTGCCTATCAGTGCAGCCTCATCAATGCACATCAGTGAAGGAGAAAAATTACCTGTTTGCTAAATTTTATAATTGAAACAAAGAAAAAAAAATTTTTTTTTCAAATTGTTTGCACTTTTTTGTTTATAGTGCAAAAAATAAAACACCCAGCGATGAGTAAATACCACCAAAAGAAAGCTCTGTTTGTGTGAAGAAAATGATAAAAATGTCAGATGGGTACAGTGTTGCCTGACATTTAAAGTGCGACAGTTACGATATTCAATGTGCTAAGATGTTATTTTCAATGGGCTGTGAATGCACAACAGCACATCTGTTAAGGTGCCTGTGCCTTATTTATTTAAGTGCACTACAAAGTACAAATGGCTCACATCTTTGCATTGTTTTTGGGGTGTTTAGTGGTACTGTTGTAAACTACATGTTACTTCAACACAAAGGTGTGAATCTAACCTAAAGCTTTGTTTACTTTGAATACCCAATCAATTGCAGCTGGCAAACAAGCGCCAAGCACCAAAAATGATCATATTGTGTTTGATCTACAAACTATATGAACACAATAACACATGCTGTGTATACATATATATATATATATATATACACACATATGAGAATAAAATTTGTAGAATGCCTTTCACATGTAAAGTTCTGACATGTTTTCTTCACAATTTGCGCAACCATCTGCTTCCCCTAGCACACTGTGGGTCTCAGCAGCACAGTAATATGTTGCAGTGTCATCTGTTCCTAAACTTCTAAATTCCAGATACACTTCATTCTTGGCAGTGTCTCTCGACAGAGAAAGTCGGCTCTGTAGTGATGGATTGTATGCTGTTCCTTGAGCATTGTTAAGATGAGCCAGAAATTCGAATCTGCCTCCTGAAAACTGCCTTACAATATTGACAGCGTGCATTTTACTTCCATCAGTGATTGATACACCAGATACATGGCAGGTTGATTTCATACTTTCAGACGGTTTCACTATAGCAGGTGCTGAGATTGACAGAGAAATCTGGGCGAGGACACCTATGAAGAGGAAAAAGAAGATCAGCCACGAGATGTAAACTAGAAAAGAGAGACATGTTTTTAAATGATCTTACATGGTAAAACTGAGATAATAAAAATAAATATAACTTCTGATGTCTTCATGATGTTGTGAAGAGCTAACCATGCAATTCATCCAATAAATCTATCAACCAATAAGGTTAATAACTGCACACAGTTTATATAAGAGACATAATGTCGGTCATTTGCATGTGTTTGCTTGTTCATGAAATTACCATGTGAAAGCTATATTTACAGAACATAGCTAAGGTGTGGGTTTCTATAGATAAAGTGCTCGTGTTTTATACATAGTCAAATAATTATATACCATTAATGATTAAATAAGATTGTCCAATATATATATATGTATATATGTATAAAAAAACACATGTACAGAAAGACATCACTCACCCCTTACTACCATCTCTAAAACCCTGACACCTATTTTGCAGTTTAACCACTTGCCTACCAGGCACTTATACCCCCTTATTTACCAGGCCAATTTTCAGCTTTCAGCGCTGCCGCACTTTGATTGACAATTGCGCGGTCATGCAACATTGTACCCATATGAAATTTTGATAATTTTTTTCTCACAAATAGAGCTTTCTTTTGGTGGTATTTAATTGCCACTGGGCGCTTTACTTTTTGCGCTATAAATTAAAAAAGTGCAAAAAATTTGAAAAAAAAAAAAAAAAGTTTCTTTGTTTCTATTATAAAATTTTTCAAACAGGTATTTTTTCTCCTTCACTGATGTGCGTTGATGAGGCAGCACTGATGGGCACTGATAGGCAGCACTGATGGGCACTGATAGGCAGCACTAAAGGGCACTGATAGGCAGTACTAATGAGGTGGCACGGATAGGCGGCACTGATAGACAGCACTAATGAGGTGTCACGGATAGGCGGCACTAATATGCAGCACTGATAGGTGGCACTGATAGATGACACTGATGATGGGTACTGATAGACGGCACTGACTGGCATCACTGCTGGGCACTGACTGGCGGCACTGACTGGCACAACCCCTGGGCACTGACTGGTGGCACTGACTGGCAGCACTGCTGGGCTGCACTGGTGGGTGGCACTGGTGGGCAGCACTGGTGGGTGGGCACAGGTGGGTGGCACTGGTGGGCACAGGTGGGTGGGCACAGGTGGGTGGCACTGCTGGGCACAGGTAGGTGGCACTTCTGGGCACAGGTGTGTGACACTGCAGAGTGGCATAGGTGGGTGCACTGCTGGGCACAGGTGGGTGCACTGCTGGGCACAGGTGGGTGATCTGCTGGGCACAGGTGGGCGGAGCTAGTGGGCGCACTGCTGGGCACAGGTGGGCGGAACTTGTGGGTGGCATTGCTGGGCACCGATCATCAGGGCACTGATCATCAGTGCCCTGATGATCGGTGCCGATCCCCGCTCTGACAACTGCCGGTTCTCGGCAGTACTTTCCTCATGATCTGACAGCGTGAGGAAAGTGCAGCCGAGAACTGGCACTTGCATTTCCCTGTGATCAGCGTGTCATTGGACACCGCTGATCACGTGGTAAAAGGCCGGTATGATTGGCCTTTTACCACATCACGTGATCAGCTGTGTCCGTAGGACACAGCGATCACGGAGATCGCCGGGTGCGCACCCCCTGGGGCGCGCAGGAGAGCGCGTTCTGGGAGGACGTCATATGACGTCCACTCAGAACTGGCCGGCCGCAGTTTAGCCGTCATTCGGTTATCTGCGGTCGGCAACTAGTTAAGATTACTTATTTTCTGTTTTACTTGCTCAGTTTGTATTAGAGTATCTCAGACACACTGTACAATGCTGAGTTCAATTGACTAAGTTACAATGTTACTCTCCAGAAAATCACCCCTTTCCTTATTTTTAATAAAAAAGCTAGTTACAAAATATTTACTGCAGTATTATGTAAATGTATTATCCTGGAGGTAATTATAACCCATAAATATTAAAGGTTTCTATGTTTTTGGCTAACGTGCATTAATTTGCAATGCTCATTATATTTTAAATATATAATGTAATTTATTTTTAGCCTATACTTTTTTTTCTTAACCAAACAATATTACAGTAATAATGGTGTTTAAAGTTTGATTTTAGTGTTGAATTCAGGGCATGGAGGAGAACTAAAAAATTGTCTGAGTTTGAAAGGTGGGATTCGTACCTAAATCGTACCTCAAAATCATCTTCACAGTTGAGAGGCATGTAAAAACGCCCATCAATAAACCTAAGGACAAAGGAGAGCATACAGACTGTGCACAAATGGGTACAAAACCATAGCAGATTGTGAAGACTGAAGGACTGTTACATTGGCATTAATTACAAAATTCAATAAATAGTCAATATATTCATTTAATGTAACTTACAAATCTACAAACATTTGAGATATATACAGGGGCGGACTGACCATTTGGAAACTCGGGCACTGCCCGAGGGCCCGGGGTCAGTAGGGGGCCCCATGAGATGCCCCTGGTACCTTTTTCATAGGCTTTTTTGAGTTTGGGCAAGGACACAGGGGCCCCATGATAACCTATTACCCGGGAGCCCCATGAGTTGTCAGTCCGCACCTGGATATATATATATATCTCCATTCATTTCAAAGCTTATAAAAACATTGCTTCACTCATGAAGCATTCATTCAATGAAACACTGAAAATGTATCTCTCTGTTTGGTCCACTGACTTCTAAATAGCTCTTTTCCCCAAGTTCCCAATGCCTCAAAGACTTACAATGTCGAGAATAAAGAACTGGATGATATCCTCCCTGGGCCAACTGATAACCTCCCATGGCTTCCAATACCACCTCTATGCTGATGACACCCAGATCTATCTCTCCACTCCCCAGCTCACCCCCTCAATCTCCTCACGTATCACAAATCTACTAAGCGACATATCAGCATGGATGTCATCACTACCTTAAACTCAATCTTTCCAAAACCGAGCTTGTAATATTTCCTCCTCCCCGATCCCCCACTCATGACTTTACCATTAAGATCAACAGCACAACCATTGGTCCTTCCCCTCATGCCAGGGTGCTAGGCGCAATCCTAGACCCTGACCTCTCCTTTGGGCCCCACATCCACTCACTGGCTAAATCCTGCCGCCTCAACCTCCGGAACATTTCCAAAATCCGCCCCTTCCTGACCAATGACACCACAAAACAACTTATCCACGCCTTGGTTATATCCTGCCTCGATTACTGCAACTCCCTCCTCACTGGTCTACCATTACACAGGCTATCCCCCTTCAGCCTATTATGAATTCTGCTGCTAGACGCATACACCTTACCAACCGATCAACGACTGCTGCCCCTCTCTGCCAATCCCTCCACTGGCTTCCACTAACCCAACGTATAAAATTCAAAATACTAACCACAGCTTACAAAGCCATCCACAACACTGCCCCTAGCTACATCGCCACTTTCATCCACAGATACCGCCCAAATCGCCCACTCCGCTCCTCCCATGATATCTTCCTCTCTAGCTCCCTCATCACCTCCTCCCACACATCGCCTCCAGGACTTCTCCAGAGCCTCTCCCATCCTCTGGAACTCCCTACCACAGCGTGTCCGGTCAGCCCCCACCCTGTCTGCCTTTAGGCGATCTTTGAAAACTCACGTCTTCAGGGAAGCCTACCCCACCTCCACCTAAGAACTGTACTTGAATCACCTCCACCAGATCGTCCCCTGCAGCGATCACCTTTTGTATCACCTCCCCCTTCCTTTAGATTGTAAGCTCCACGAGGCAGGGCCCTCCTATTCCTTCTGTACTGAAATGTATTGTAATTGTACTGTCTCCCTTATATTGTAAAGCGCTGTGCAAACTGTCGGCGCTATATAAATCCTGTATAATAATAATAATAATTTAATTACCTATTTAACCACTTGCCCTCTAAAGGATTTACCCTCCTTAATGACCAGACTTCTTTTTGCTACTCGGCACTGCACTATTTCAACTGATAATTGCGCGGTCATGCAATGCTGTACCCAAATGAAATGTACATCCTTTTTTTCACACAAATAGAGCTTTCTTGTGGTATTTGATCACCTGTGCGCCTTTTATTTTTTGCACTATAAACAAAAAAAGAGTATTTTTTTCTTTCGGCTATAAATAATATATAGTAAACTCAAAGTTAGTCATAAATTTAGGCCAAAATGTATTCTGCTACATGTTTTTGGTAAAAAAAAATCCCAATAAGTGTATATTGATTGCTTTGTGTGAAAGTTATAGCGGTATAGATACTGCAATTTATGCCATTTTTTGCTATACAGTGCTGCACTAGTTTAACTGACCATTGCGCGGTCATGCAATACAGTACATAAATTAAATTTACATTTTTTTTTTCACCCATATAGAGCTTTCTTTCGGTGGTATTTGACCACCTGTGCGCTTTATATTTTTCACGCTATAAACAAAATATTTTTGTGAACATTTTTTTTTAAAACAATATTTTCTCATTTTTGTCATAAAAAATATCCAAAGAACTCAAATTTCGTCATAAATTTAGGCCAAAATGTATTCTGCTACATGTAAATATGTATATATGCAGCGCTAAAACTAGTAAGGATCAATAAATATCAATAAACTAACTAATAAATAATATCATAAAACCAATATGGATCCATAAATATTAATAAAAAATGAGTAATATCATATACGCATATCGAGAAATATAACAAGTATAAAACTGTGCTCCATGGCGCTATGGACAGTGATGTGAAGCAACGTCACAACTTGACGTTAAAGTGCATATAGTGACATGAATAATAAAAAGTCAATATTTTCCAAAGTCGAATGACAATATAAGGGTGAAAATCCGTGACTACTGTGGCTGTGAGAATGGATGTAGATTGCACTAACCAGAAAGCGCAATCTATTGCACATTGGAGTAAATTAGGACCAACACCTGGTCATCTGGACCTGGAAACATGTCACACAGGGGGTCATCTGGCCAGCATCAACAAGGCAGGTAACACACCATAGGAAGATATCCAGGCTCCAGAGATGCAATCATCAGCCAGCAGA